CGCATTTTGACGTTCACATCCCCAACGGCCAAAATATGATGTACTGTAAATCATAGCGGCTCGCAAAATTAGTTTGTTTTGTATTCGTGGATCGTCGGGTTGGTTTGGTTCAGGGAATTTAGTACAACATTTTTGTGACGGCAGGCGGCATTTTTGTGTCTCCACCTCGGCTCTGCGGAACCCCAAGATAACTAGAGTTTCCGCAAGAGATAGTCATATATGTAAAATATATCATATGTAAAATATATTTTTGAGTAATTTTTGTCTTTAATTCTTCTCATCTAACCATCATCAAGAGCAAAGGCAGTCTGCGTTTCAGTTGTCAAGTAAATCCGTGTGTGTGTGTGTGTGTGTGTGTGTGTGTGTGTGTGTGTGTGTGTGTGTTTTATCTAATGTACGACCCGGAATTTTTTCAAGGGAACGCCCTTTGAAAACGGCTTACTATACCGTTGTTGTGGTTGTTATTGATTTAGGGGCGACGCCGATGGTAGGATACACCCAACATAACTTACATCACGACACTTATAACATTAGCAATATTAGCCTAACGAACATCTTGTCTATCCTAGATTCATATATAACTTTCAAGTCATTATAACTGAGGTTTAACCAATAATTATACTTGATTTAAAAATACTGAGCAGTAGCCTATACTAAAAGATGAACAAGCTACGGTTTGTGTATGTTTAAGAGCTTTAGGTGTACACAAGCCAGTAGTAAACACCCGGGTGTATTTAAGCCAGCACAGGCGCCTAGGTGTATACAGCAGGGGGCAGGAGGAGCTGGGCAGGCGCCCGCAACACTACCACAGGCATGACACACGATGCCCACTCCTGGAGAAGTCAGACGACAATCCTTGTCCAGAATCTAATCCTGATTCAACAGTTCGTCAACGCAACCTCGAGTATATATATAACAGTACTGACACTTTACCATGTCAAGGAGAAACTAGGACTGTATAATCTAATCCTATACTGTTGTGTAGCCTCGCCCTGATAACTCTGTACCTGTTCCACTTACCTGTTGTTGGTTCCGGGGATCAACTTCCCCGTGGTCAGGTCTCTAACCAGGCCTCCTGGTTGGTGGTCTGGTCAACCAGGGTGTTGGCCGCAGTTGCACGCAGCCTGACTTACGAATCACAGCCTGATTGATCAGGTATCCTTTTGGAGGTGTTCATAAATTTCACTTAACATCGTGAGAGGTCGGGCAATTATGTCTAGGGGGAATGTCGAAGTCTTGGGCCTTTGATGATGAGGCCTTTACATTGAGAGTTCTCTCTCAGTGTACCAATTGTACCTCTGCTTTTCAACCGACCTATTTTGCACATCTTGCTAAGGCTATGTTTAGCACCCCAATAAACAACATGAAAGTTGAAGATCCAGACAGCTTCTTTATGAAGGACATCCGAGCTGCAGATAATATAACTGATATTAACACGAACTCTGAAGACTTTGAAAGAGAAATTGACAACCTGCCCATGCACTCAGCCCCGGGTCCTGACTTGTGGAATTCAATATTCATAAAGAAATGTAAAGTACCTACAGCGCGAGCACTCAGTGTAATATGGAGAAAGAGTCTGGATACACGAGCTACACCAGCAGCACTTAAATCAGCAGATATAGTTCCTCTGCACAAGGGGGGTAGTAAAGCTTTGGCAAAAATTATAGACCAGTTGCACTAACATCACACATAATAAAAGTATACTTTTATTATGTGTGATGTTATAGAGTGATATAGAAAGAGTAATTAGGAGTAAAATTTCAAGTTTTATGGAAAATAATGAGCTACACAACCCAGGACAACATGGATTTAGAAGCGGGAAGATCCTGTCTGTCACAGTTACTCAACCACTATGACAAAATCACAGAAGCCTTAGAAGTTTTTTTTTCAGTTTAGTTCATTTATTATGCACCCCATACCCATCTTGTGGGCGGTAGTGGAAAGGGTTACAGAGGCACATAATGGGCTCAGGGACTGAACCCCACATTTCATTTAGCTAAGCAAGTTACAATCTTGTTGAGCTAGTTACAAAATTCAATATACGTCGTCACATCAACAATGGGTTCGAGATCGACCACAAGTACAGTTTCTAAATTAGGCAACTGCCATATGTGGAGAGCTATCTTCTTTTGAGGTTATAAAACGATTTCGGGGCTTAGCGTCCCTGCGGCCCGGTCCTCGACCAGGCATCCTTTTTGTTACACACCCCCAGGAAGCAGCCCGTAGCAGCTATCTAACTCCCAGGTACCTATTTACTGCTAGGTAATCAAGGGCATCAGGGTGAAAGAAACTCTGCCTATTTGTTTCCGCCTCCACCGGGGATCGAACCCAGAACCATAGGACTACGAATCCCGAGCGCTGTCCACTCAGCAGTCAGGCCCCTTGTCTATGTCTGATTTGGAGACTATTACACTCTGGGTTCTGTTCATTACAAAATTAAAGATCCCCTTCTCTTACTTTGCCAGTAACTCCTTTCGTGCGCATTTTGTGCTGCGTTTTGTCTTCCATGGCATCTATGGCCATGTTACAGTGGTCTGGGACCCAAGAGGCAGGAGCGCCTCGTCCTGGTCCCATATTGTTCAGGGTTATGTACACAGTGAATCTCTTGTGTGATCTTACCTATTAGCACTCTTTCAACGATGTTTGTGTGTTATGTTAGAGCTAATGGTCTACAATTTTTGGCACCTGCTTTACTATCTCCTTTGTGAGGTGGCACGTTGTTGTTGTTGTTATCCCGTAACCTACCTGGCACAGGAGCGGGGCAAGTAGCACGGGGTACGGTGAGCCCGTAGTGAACTTACTACCGGTGGAACGATCTCCACTGTTTTAAGTATGTAGTGGATAACACCTCATCTCGGCTCCGTCTCCAATAGATGCTTAAGGGCCTGTCATAGTTTGTTTTCCTTTTTTTTGTAATGCTTAATGAATTGAGGAAGCCAGGAATGTGTGACTGGTGCAGAGTGCATGCTGTCTATGGACACTTCAAAGCCCTGTGTGGTTCGGGTGACATCTAACATAACACACAAAATCGATGTTAGTATCATATTCATAAAGAATTCGTTTGGATCATTGATCTTCAATGTGTTCAGGGGCTCAATGTAGTGTTGTTCTATATTTTGCATAGGAGACGAAGTATTTGGAATTCCTCTCTATTTTACCGATTGCCTTTTCTTCTCTTTGCCTCTCCTGGATTTTATGATTCGTGCAACTTTAGCTCGATCGTTTCTATTTCTCTATATAGCCTCCCTTGTCGTTCTTGGGAGAGAGAGGAGCGGCTGAGTTGGTTTATAATAATTGGTGGGTATGTGGGCCTGCGGGCCGCTCCAAGCAACAGCCTGGTGGACCAAAGTGTCACAAGTCAAGCCTGGCCTCGGGCCGGGCTTGTGGAGTAGAAGAACTCCCAGAACCCCATCAAGCAGGTTAATTATTTTTAGTAAAATGAATTCATAACGCCAAAGGGTACAAATGATTAGTTTGTGACTGTTCAACATGTCGAGTGACTGGGGTTATGTTGAGGCTACATGAAGCCTAGTGCCCAAACTGTGTTTTCACCCTAACAGTTAAATAATGCCAGACACGGGCTTGAGGTTTTCTCAACACAGGCACGACGGGGTACACATGGCGCTGTGCTGTAGCTGCCCCTAACACAATAACAGCAATGGTGCCATCCTCGTGAATATGATGGAACACTTGGAGCAAAACAAATATGCAAAGAGCGATAAATAATATACAAAAACAGCATATATATTTACGACGAGAATTATTTATTGGGATCATTGATCTGTTAATGGTTCGCTGTAGTCTGCTCGTCAGTGGGAAGGAATGCACTTCAAAACACCTGCGGCTTTTTCTTCTTTCAGTAATAACATATAAATATATGTACTGGGGCATGTGAATGGCTGTGGTGTGTGCGTGCAGGGCGGAGGCTCCCGCCGACCTGCATGGGTCCTCGGCCTCCAGGACCAGTATACAAAGAGTGCTTTGTTCTGTAGGATTCCCAGTCGACACAAGCAGCCATCTTTCAATCATTTATGGTATATGGACCCAAATTGGGAAGTTGGTCTAGCTATACCCATGCTCTTGTCTCAAGAGGCGCTCAGGCCTACATCATTTTCTGTTATAGGCTAGGCTACCGTGTAATAATGAAAGACTTCTCATATTGAAGTGGTTGGGTATGGCTGGGTTGTTTACAGGACGGGTGGTTGGGTATGGCTGGGTTGTTTACAGGACGGGTGGTTGGGTATGGCTGGGTTGTTTACAGGACGGGTGGTTGGGTATGGCTGGGTGGTTTACAGGACGGGTGGTTGGGTATGGCTGGGTTGTTTACAAGACGGGTGGTTGGGTATGGCTGGGTTGTTTACAGGACGGGTGGTTGGGTATGACTGTGTTGTTTACAAGACAGGTGGTTGGGTAGGACTGTGTTGTTTACAGGACGGGTGGTTGGGTATGACTGGGTTGTTTACAGGACGGGTGGTTGGGTATGGTTGGGTTGTTTACATGACGGGTGGTTGGGTATGGCTGTGTTGTTTACAGGACGGGTGGTTGAATATGGCTGGGTTGTTTACAGGACGGGTGGTTGGGTATGGCTGGGGTGTTTACAGGACGGGTGGTTAGGTATGGCTGGGTGGTTTACACGACGGGTGGTTGGGTATGACTGGGTTGTTTACAAGACGGGTGGTTGGGTATGGCTGGGTTGTTTACAAGACGGGTGGTTGGGTATGGCTGGGTTGTTTACAAGACGGGTGGTTGGGTATGGCTGGGTTGTTTACAGGACGGGTGGTTGGGTATGGCTGGGTTGTTTACAGGACGGGTGGTTGGGTATGGCTGGGTGGTTTACAAGACGGGTGGGTGGGTATGGCTGGGTTTACAGGCTGTGTTGTTTATGGGATGGTTGGTTGGGTAGAGCTGGGTTGTTTACAAGACAGGTGGGTTGGGTAAGGCATGGATTAGGTTGCATATCTACATCCTCCAAAATGGAAGGTGTGTTTGTGTGGTCTTACCTGTAGCTGCATGTCTGACGTTACTGGGTTACCGTTGACATCTTCAGGTATGTGGCGGGACCTTGGAGCAGGTGTGTGAGACACCTGCTGCCTTCCCTCTCCAACACCGGAGGTGGCCGTCTCCCCCTCCATCACCTCCTTCGTGCCCTGCAGGCTTGAATCATCATCCGTCGCTACAAAATTCCCAACCTTCACGCGCCACGCCACACAAAACCTTTTTTCAGCTTTTTCAGAACACTCATGGTCACTTCTTTATGAAATCACCTGTACTGCCCGAGTCTACACAGACCCGTGTATGCTGGGGCTACACTGACCCGTGTATGCTGGGGGCTACACTGACCCGTGTATGCTGGGGCTACACTGACCCGTGTATGCTGGGGGCTACACTGACCCGTGTATGCTGGGGGCTACACTGGACCCGTGTATGCTGGGGCTACACTGGACCCGTGTATGCTGGGGGCTACACTGACCCGTGTATGCTGGGGCTACACTGGACCCGTGTATGCTGGGGCTACACTGACCCCGTGTATGCTGGGGCTACACTGGACCCGTGTATGCTGGGGCTACACTGACCCCGTGTATGCTGGGGCTACAACTCCAACATACTCTGGATATTCACCAACAAAAGGTCACCATGAATATTGGAGCAACAATCGACCTTACACACACACGAGCTTTTCACACCGAAGTAATCCCAGTTACCTCCACTGACAGGTACATTGTGTCTCGGTTGCGACACACTGGGCTCAACCCCTGTTAACGTACTGGGCTCAACCCCTGTTAATACACTGAGCTCAATCCCTGTTAATACACTGGGCTCAACACCCCTGTTAAACCTGGTTACCACAAAAATCACTGGCTGCTGTCATCCAAGGAGCCGCCACCAACTTTCGTACCAATATCGCTATATTCCAGGCAGCTAACGTAACTACACACACAGGAGCCACGAACAGTATCTCCTACGCACACACACACGTAACAATATCACCACAAAGGCCACGATATAAGGCAATGAGTGTTGAGCAACACGTGTAACACAGCTCCCGGGGCGAGCGGAGACCCTCCCACCGCCACTTACAACTGAACACTAATCAAGCCGTTCTTTGCTTCACCTCTCGCGCTACACCTCTGATACCGACACCCCATTTTTATATTCATTTTTAACACCTTCAAATCATTATACGATTCTGTGTTAATAATCGAGGTCGTAATTCCTGCAAAAATCTTCGAAACAGAGCTAGATTTCAGGTGGAATTTTGTTTTACTAGGAGTTAAGTTAGTTATTCCGAATTCAAAGTTAGCAGCGTTGCCGAGTGTCGAGTTGCCGATTAGTATTTCAGCATCCGTCTCAAGTTCCCTTCTACATTACGTTATGTAAACAAAACAATATTTTAACTGTGCTGAGCTACTAAATATTGAATATACATGTATGCGACTGTTTAGAAACAGTTTACATATTTTGTAAAATGTAAAGAAGCAACACTGCTGCAGTCTTGAAGGTCAGATCCAAGTATTAGGCGAGAGTTCTCTGGAGGAAAATTATTCAAACCTCAATGTGTAATGATGATATATGTAATAATAACAATAATCCTACGGTACAAATAAAATGATGAATACCAGATCTTTCTAAGTGAGGCATACATGTCAACACCGCGTGAATACCAACAGTGATGCCATCCCAAGATCTTGCTATTTGCTCTCCCTCAAGACCACGTACCGAAAACGTTTGTGGTGTGAGAACACGGACATGTTCTTATACACGCAGTCACGTACCCGAGGACACGCACACCCACACACACAAACACGACAAAGAATTTGAACATGAGAACAGTTAAACTATAACGCAACAGGTACAACAAAGCAAGCAGACGGGGCAAGCAAAGCCTCACTCCCTGTAGTTACCCACAGGTAAGTACACAAACACACACACAGGATGTGTGTGTGTTTGTGGCTAGAGGATGACCTGGATAGACTGAAGGAATGGTCCAACAAATGGCTACTAGAGTTTAACTCGAGCAAGTGCAAAGTGATGAAGATAGGAGTAGGGAGCAGGCGACCAAACACATGGTTCCAGCTTAGAGAGGAAATCCTTCAGGAGTCAGGAAAAGAGAAAGATCTGGGGGTTGATATCACACCAGACCTGCCCCCTGAAGCCCATATCAAAAGGATAACATCAGCGGCGTATGCAAGGCTGGCGAACATAAGAACTGCCTTCAGAAACTTGTGTAAGGAATCATTCAGAACCTTGTATACCTCATATGTCAAACCAATACTGGAATATGCGGCTCCAGCGTGGAGTCCACATCTAGTCAAACACAAAAAGAAGTTAGAAAAGGTTCAGAGGTATGCCACCAGGCTAGTCCCCGAGCTGAGAGGAATGAGCTATGAGGAAAGATTACTGGAACTGAACCTCACAACACTGGAAGACAGAAGAGTTAGGGAAGACATGATCACTACCTACAAAATTCTCAGAAGAATTGACAGGGTAGATAAAGATAAACTGTTTAACACGCGTGGTACGCGAACAAGGGGATACAGGTGGAAACTGAATACCCAAATGAGCCACAGAGACGTTAGAAATAACTTTTTTAGTGTCAGAGTAGTTAACAAATGGAATGCATTAGGCAGTGATGTGGTGGAGGCTGACTCCACACACAGTTTCAAATGTAGATATGATAGAGCCCAGTAGGCTCAGGAATCTGTACATCAGTTGATTGACAGTCGAGAGGCGGAACCAAAGAGCCAGAGCTCAACCCCCGCAAGTACACGGACATACACACAGGGAGACCTACAGCCTCGCGGCTGAGTGGACAGTGCTCTGGGGTCGTAGTCCTAAGGGCCCGGGTTCGATCCCCGGCAGAGGTAGAAGCAAATAGGCAGTTTCTTTCACCCTGGTGCTCCTGTTCACCTAGCAGTAAATAGGTACCTGGGAGATTAACAGCTGCTACGGGTTGCTTCCTGGGAATGTGTGTGTGTGTGTGTGAAATATTTGTAGTAGACATAATAGAGAAAAAATAAAATTGGTTAGAAAGGCGGAAGCCAAGAGCTAATAGCTCGATTCAGCAGATACAATAGTAAATGCAAATAGTAAACACACACACACACACACACACACACACACACACACACGCACACACATCCCGCCTGGGAACCTGTTTTAGCGAGTGTGCACGTGTGTAAACAAACAGACATACCGGGGTAAGAATGCGTACAGAGTTACATTAACCCAGCAGTAATAATCCCCACTCTAACCTTGCCAGCATGACTACATACACAAGGTATTTTTACCCACTACCAATTCGATAAAAATTTGCCACATTGGGAAATATTTACCCAGCATAATGTTGCTGTTTTCTATGCATCAACCTCGTTAGGCTAGGTAGTTGCCTAGTAGTGTTTACGTAGGAGTGAGGTCTGGCTTGTTATGCCCCGCCTACCAGCTTTGTGGCTTCCATCACCTCTTTCAGTACATTGTATGTGGAAGCTGGTCAGAATGGCTTCACCTTTATAAACGCACATTAATGACGCTATATAAAAAGACACCTCGAACACTGTTTATGTTGGACAGATGTAAACCTGGGTATTTATGTCTGTAGGTTAGATTAGCATTTTAAAAGCACTACAATCACTTCCTGTGGGTGATTGTTTAATAAACACTGGACTATATGTTTAACAGATCTCTCACCCTGTCCATGGAGGACAGAAGAAAATGTATATATGCTGGTTAGCATTGTAAATGTGTGGCCACGTCTGTGGTAGAAAAAAACAAGAAAAAAAAGTACATTCCACTTAGACTGACCACCCGTACAGAGTACGAGTAAGTCTTACATTTCTTATGTCCTCTTCTTCTACTTTCTCTAAATTTAGAGTCCATTTCCCTCAGTATCTTGTATGTTGTCGCCATTATTCCCCTGTTTTATTCTCTAGACTTGTGAGATCTAGCTCCATAAGTCTATCCTTATAGCTTAACCCTCTTAGCTCTGGCATCAGTCCCGTTGCAAACTTTCATATTTTTTTAATTTTTGGTGCAGATATGATGTCGGTGCTTCACATTACATGATTGATCTAACAAATGCTGTGAAAATTGCCTTGAATATATACCGATTTAGATTTCTAAACTATTTTCCAATGTTGGCCAGCGTCCCAGATGACAGATAAACGCTTTGGAAAGTGTGCTATGGTGGTGAACAGTTACCAGAGTGTGTAAGGTAAGGACAGGTAATCAGGAGGAAGCACTAAGCCAGTACGACTATATAACACTAGGAAGGGATGCGAGGACAAGGAGCTGGGATAGGAGGATGGAGGGAAGGAACGGTGCACAACAAGAGCTTTTTATTATATTCCAATATGATGATGATGTCGGGTCAGCAGCGCGAGTCATCACGTGCAGCATCAACACGAGAGCTTGGCGGGTGCCTCTGCAGGTGCCACTCCTATGTGCCACTCTGTAAAAAAAATACAACTGTTTTGCCTAACTAGAAACGTACGAACCCGAAGCACTACGAGGTTGTCTAACTATAATAACCCTGGGTCGTGAACGACCTCGCTGTGTTACCCAGCTCGTGAACTGTTTAATAAATACACAGTCGCCATGACCATGTAAGAGGAGGAGTCTCACCAGGGGGGATCAGCCTGTGTCAATAACACGTGTGGAGGATAACACAGTCCTGGAGGGCCGCTTACCATCACGTCTGGGGGACTGAGGCCCACACCGCCTTGTAGGACACTGGAGTGGGAGGCATGTCCAACCCGTCCTCTTAAAAATAACGTCACTTTTGGCTCGTATGCGCACTACGGCCAAATTTGGACGTAATTTGAAATGAAATCAACTCACAAAAGTGACGTACTGTTCCGTTTTCTGTTTGAGTCGTCCGGTCCTCCTCGGACAGGTTAGAAGAGGAACTTTCAATTTACGTTTCTCATAACGTTTTGAATCCTTATGAGAATTTCCTGCCCACCTAACCTATCAGAGGTCCCTTAACTTACTGTTGTTGAAAAAAAAATCCCAAATTTATTTCCAATTTATTTTAATTTTCAAATTACGTCCATATTCGGCCATACGGGCAAACGGCCAAAAGCGACGATCTTTTTAAGAGGACAGGTTGCAACCCGTTAGAGACAGGCTCCCTATGGCAGTGTGTCTTGGCTTTTAGTTTGCAGCAACAGGCGCTCCTGGGATCTGAGGTCATCTCTTCCCTCCTTGAACTTTAGTAAATTGTCAGTAACTTATCTCAATGTTCAATTATCATTTGCATATTATAAACATTGGCGCTAATTGCGATAGTAAATAATGTCAGCTAGGATGTGCGTGGTGAGTTAAATCAATTAATATAAAATCGGAATATAAAGTCTTTGTGTTGTACCGTTGCTATCCTGCTTGACCGTGGAACGTGGGAGGGACCTCGAGATCCCGCCAAACACACACCGAAACTACGACGTTGGTACAACGTTCGAACAAATTTTAACACCTCCTAATCAGTTATAACAACCAATATAGCAAGTTGTAACAACGTTCTAATACGTCATAAACACGTTAAGCCAAGATGTAACAACTTTATTACAAGTTGTAACAAGCTGAAAATAGACAGTTTTATTGATCGTAACCAGAAGGGCTGAGTAACATTGATCTACCAATATTACTGAGCCCTTCTGGTATTTAATTACCTTCACCATGCTGTAAGACCTGCTCCCCTGTAACCCCCTACCTGATACCACTGTACCGCTGTAGCTTTACACACTAGTGCTCTTAAATAGATTTCCATGAACAGTTTACACAATATTTACAGTTGAGAGTAACCTGGTACCACTACAACTCTCCCGCAGAACCAGTGGTACGCTCAAGGACTTGCTTAATGTTAAGGCAGAGGAGAAACACCGGCTGCCACCACCCAATTAAATTCGTTACTACAAGAGTTTGATAATTACTAATTAAGGGACCGCCTGCGGTTCATGGGGGGGGGGACACCACGTCCTGTTGACTTTAATTACTACTGAGAGATTTCTTCTTTTAATGTAATCACTTACTGGCAGTTATGTTAAACAGTTTATACTGGAGAGTTTAAAGGTTCATACAAGGA